TTACCTCAGCTAGTCACACCCCTCTTGTCACTAAATACCGTACTGTAACTTACCTCAGCTAGTCACACCTCTCTTGTCACTAAATACCGTACTGTAACTTACCTCAGCTAGTCACACCTCTCTTGTCACTAAATACCGTACTGTAACTTACCTCAGCTAGTCACACCTCCTCTTGTCACTAAATACCGTACTGTAACTTACCTCAGCTAGTCACACCTCTCTTGTCACTAAATACCGTACTGTAACTTACCTCAGCTAGTCACACCCCTCTTGTCACTAAATACCGTACTGTAACTTACCCCAGCCAGTCACACTCCTCTTGTTACAAAATACTGTACCGTAACTTACCTCAGCTAGTCACACCCCTCTTGTCACTAAATACCGTACTGTAACTTACCTCACCACCATGCATAAACCAACTCTTTTCCTCCTCTTTACATCTGCCTCCACAGGCAAACAATCTTCATTCTCATGTTGCATTTAACTCTCTTATTCAGTTTTTTATTTTAGTTCACACACGAATCCAATTTCAAGCGCATCGTCAGATTTTAACAGATTTTGAGTTGATTGGTTTTCTTAATTAAACTTAAGAGAAAGCTATTAATTGTAGACAAATCTAAAAGTATTCATTTGATTGCTTTAATGAGACTTTTATTTGATACACAGAAACAACAACATGCAATTCACGTGTTAACAAGGTTATTCCGAATGTTTACAAAAACAACGTTCAATACAATATGTTGTACTGCTAAATGTTTCTATGTTTAATGGTTTTGATTGCTTCCTCGGTATTTTGGAAATAATACCTTGTTTTCTCGCTTCTGAACTTCGACACGTGACGTACATTCATAACCCACTCACCCATTCCCCAGTGCAGCCTAACATGCGTGTTTTATCCATGAAATTACGCAACAGTAAATAGTATCGCATTTATTCTCTCGTTTTATGGCTATTATTATTATTACATAATTATTTCCCTTAACCAACAGATATAAATAAGAAAACATAATAACTTCACATACAATAAATATATTTCAAATGTGAAGTTCCCCTTTAATGTTTTGATTATATGGTATATATATATTGTTACACCTCCGTTCGTTAATTGATTTCCCGTAAATTCGTTCCGACGAAACTTTAGCGACGCAAGTCCTTTCTTAAATAAAACTGGTTTATTCTTTCTGAATATAACTTTACGATACACTTAATTTCAACAATCGCGTTAAAACAAACGCTATAAAAACGAACGTTAACTTCAACAATACTCTCTGACTGCAGATCAATTACTCACTGTCTACACACTGTCCCGTCACGTTGTGACCATCATATATATACCAGCTACCCCCAATCTAGTAATCTCCCGGAAGGTTCGAGAAAGAAGTGGCGTGATACTAGTCACGTGACCTCGCTGACGCGACAGTATGTATGACGTTTTATGAAAAATCTGTACGTGATGGTGAAAAATGTATATCATTTTCGGATTCAGCGTACTAGAATTACTGTTCAACATGTAAAACTTTTAAAACAATAAAACCATCACAAGCCTGTGTTACCGATGTAGTTTGCTCCTGCTGTGGTAAACTGACCCGCTCCGGAATAATGATAAGACTAACTTACTAGTTCAAAAACACGTGCTTGGTTATAAATTCTCTCATATATACATATTGGAATTTTTTTTATTTATGTGACACACAAGATTCACTAGAGCATGCACTGTGAGGCTCAATGTTATTCAAAAACTTTATGAATGAAATACTTGTAATGTAGAATATCATATCATTGTCATATATAGCCATATCACGTTTCCTACCTTATTTTATTAATATTGAATTAAAAAAATTCATTCAGTATGTTTCTATATAATTTTGGTTTAAGCACGTAATCCACAAAAACAGTGAAGTTGTTTCAGTTTGGTTGCTTTTGTACTCTATAACAGATACCTTGTCTGCCAGAAGAGATATTGCAGTAATGTCACATGTCTGTGTTTAAAGGGTTAGTGACTGTAACGTCCTTTGCTGGCCACGTGGATGATATCTATATGTTGTAACCAATGGATGCTATGAAAAAAATGACCAGTTACATAGTGACACTATTTTAAGAAAAAGAATACGAAGAGTCTTGCATGATTGGAACATTTATTCTCTCTCTCTTAGTTCTACTTGCTTTCCGTCATGTTTACTTCAACAGATTCATCTTGTAAAATAGAAAGCTGAAGTATCTACAGATCCAATAGACTACTGTATTAATGTCCATACAACTATGTAAACTTTTTTTTTGCTTTGTGACATAATAAAGATTGTTTTACACTTCAAGTCACACATATGAAATCGATATTTTTTAACGTTTTTTAAACTGCCGTTTTTAACTTCATATTACTCCACAAATTTCCTGTTTGATCCTCACGTTGTTTTTTAATTTCGTGCAAGGCTACACGAGGGTTATCTGCACTAGCTGTCTTCAATTTAGCAGTGAAAGACCATAGGGAAGGCTGCTAATTATCACCACCCACTGCCAATTTTTACCAACGAATAGTAGGATTGAACATCACATTATAACACCCCCCAACGGCTGAAAGCCTCCAGTTATTAAGTGCCCCTTTTTGATATTTTCATAGAAATCGGTTTATCTAAGAATATCCTACCGTATCTGCAACAAGCCTGGTCTGTTGTTGTCAAGTGCAAAGCTACACAATGGACTATCTGTGCTCTGTCTGCCAAATTAATGAAAAACTTGTTTTTAGCGTCCTTTAAAAATAATACTTCAGTTATATTGCACTCCATTTTTGTAGGTAACGTATTGGAGAAGCCACGATGAAGTGAAACTCATGAATTTTATCTTTTAAGGTTTTTATTTTCTAAAACAAAAATAAATTTACTTATGTTTAGATTAACCAATGTTAACACAATGCTAATAGAATATTTTTAATTTAAACATTTTAAAATATACTTTAGACCCTTAACTGAACTTCTTTATAGTATTTGTGTGTTGAATTTAATCTCCTGCTTCTTTCCTAATTTATCTTAGATGCTATGTCCTCACTATAAGAAATCTTGTTTGGAATTTCACTCATAGCTACACAAGGGCCACCTCCACTAGCCGTAGCTAATTTAGCAGTGAAAGACTAGAGGGAAGACAGCTAGTCATCAATACCCATCACCAACTCTTGGGCTACACTTTTAC